GGAAACCACGTCGCAAACCTACACCAGCACCCGTCTCCCAACATCATGTTTTTGTAAAATTGGAGACAGTGTTTTTTCACCCGGTTAGTTTTTAATTTTTGTAACCTTATCACATTTTTAGTCATTTTTATTTAAAGATCTTTCTATGTGGTTTTTTAATTTCTCTTTGCTGGTTTTTTTTGAACTTTTTAAAAAAATTTTTTTTTTTCCCCCTCCACCCCCCCCAGGTGAATTGATTTACAACAGAGTGGATAGTGATGGATGTAGATTTTATGCCATTTGTAGTTCAACATGTACAGTTGAAAGGCACACTGTACATTGTAACATTACTTCTCCTCTAACCACTACGTCCCCTGAATGGTCTCCTGTAACAACATCAGTTCCTCTGCCTACCACTTCTGGAAATGTTCCTTTTCATGGTTGTGTTTCTTCTACTCACCCTCCTTTACAGGTATTTATTAAATATGTTATATTTATGATGGTTGAAATAACATAAACATTAGGTTAACACCATAAAGGAGCAGTATGCAGTCTTTAATCAGTAAATGTGTAGATTGCCAGAATATTTTTTTTCTAGTGATGGGTAATATACATAGCTTAAAATTTCTACGTACCTTCTATATGATTTTTTTTTCATAGGTAGAGAGCAATATATAGTATTTTCTAATTACTCTTGTCCTACTACAGCATGTTTTGAGGCACTGAATTTCATAAATTACAAACCTTACTGAAATAACAAAGGACGTTTTCTTGTGCATTTTGTTTCCTCCCTAAACACAAAAAATTATGTTACTGGGATGTCTTGTATCTTATTCTGTTCTTTTGCACTTTTATCTGTCCTTCTGTATAGATTTTTCTTCTTTTACTGATAGTCTATGCTGACAGTGAAGTACTGTATACACAGGTAGTATAAAGGACATCGGTTCCCTTAATCTAAGGCCTGTGCCCCCAAACCTTAGAGAAGCTCCTATGAGGAGGTTCCCACCTCCTTTTACTGTAAAAGAAAATAAATATTATGGAATATTGGCAGTCTTAGACTATCAGTGAAGGTTTTCAGTTTAGTCTTTTCTTTTGATTTGGAAAACAAATGAGTTTCTGATTCCCCTTATCATGGTCAGAACTATTAATAACTCTGGTCAATATTACATATCATTAGTACCACAAACTGAAAAGAAGTAACAAGTATTAATTTCCTCTCCAACATCACCATTACTGGAAATAATATACTTTTAAACTAAAAATATAAGTAAAGTTCTTATCTGTTTTCAGACACCTCTGACAGCAATTTTTGTTCATTTTGCAGCCTGGACAAAGTTACAAAATATCCAACTGTACAGAAATCATCTGTAAGGGAGACAACAAAGTAGAAGTAATTCCAACGCACTGCCCACCTGTAAAAGCAATTACCTGTGCCAACAAATACCCAGCAATACTGGTACCTGATGATAATGGCTGCTGCTACCATTATGAGTGTCAATGTAAGCACTAGTAGATTAAAGAATAATCTTTTTTGAAAAACAAACAAACAAACCAAAACAAACTTTGCACAGATTATAGGGTCTTTCTTTTCTTATGGTTGCGCTATATATTGTAGTATATTCACCTCAGTTTCTAAAGTCTTTCTGCTACATTAATTTTCATGTTAATCTAAATGTTTTCTCTCTACTAGGTGTGTGCAGTGGATGGGGTGATCCTCATTATATTACTTTTGATGGAATCTACTATACTTTCCTTGAAAACTGCACTTACGTCCTGGTGAAACAGATTGTACCTAAATATGACAACTTCCGTGTTTACATTGACAATTATTACTGTGATTCACAAGATGGACTTTCCTGTCCTAAATCCATTATTATTTTCTACAAATCGGCAAAAGTGCTGCTGACCCGTGAACTCAGGAATGGTGTGATGACCAATGTGGTAAATTGCACATTCTTTTTATTTCTCTATTTTTTCAAAAAGACTATAGGCCTTACTGATTCTTGTTTGGAGGGCAGAGGGTATCATTAGGAAGAGAAAAAAAAGATTACACCAGCTTCTAAGAAGAAAATGTCAGAAATAGCTTGGTACTATGCAGAAGAGAGTATATTATGTGCATGTATGTATATATATAAAGAACACTAGGAGACAGAGAAGACAGAAAGAATGCTTACACTGGTGCTTGATTCATGTTTCATGAAAACTAGTATATTGTGCCATTCACTTGTGTAAATAAACACATTATGAAGAAACATGAGTGAAAATCACAAGCACGATTCTTCTTTCATGGTGAAGATGGGTATGTATCCCTCATCGGCCAGATAATGAGGGACTGCTTCCTCTGCATAGGGAACTTCAGGCATCAAACAGAGCTATGACATGATTCCTCCTCCAATTCCCTCCTGGGACAAGAGGTATAGCTGAAGAAATGATGTGACTGGGAGTGTCACTTCACCTTCATGATCCTCAATTAGTCCTAGCAGGCCAGTGTAAACAAAAAGTCAGTCCCACTGTTACACTGAGGATTTTATTAGTTGATTAGAGAACACAAAGAGGTGGGAGAAAAAGTTTGTCTCAGTATGGACTCTCCTCCCACAAAGCCATGCCACATTTTCCTTACCTACAGTCAGAAAGGCAGGTTGAAACAATTAGTTCAGTGGTCCCCTGTGAAAGAAAACAGTAACTGACAGTTTTAATTCTTACTTTACCCCAATTCAATGTGAAGAAAGTTGAAGAATAATTCCCGACAAAAAGTTACTAAGCAAATATGTCCATCTTCATTAGCTCGTATAAGATACAGACTGCAAATGGAACACTTTAGGTTAACGAATAAATACGACCACTCCATAAAATTGGCATGAGGGACATTTGACTTCATTATGAATTCAAAGACCTCTTTCAATGCCAAGCAAAATGTAGTATAGGGACAGTAGGAATTTGCAGCAAAGTTATTACATAATAATGGCAGGAATACTTATGTAGTTAAAGAAAAGTACCACTCATTTGAATATGAAAACTGTTTGCAATAAACAAAATGGATTTAGAATGCTGTGCACTAGCAGACAATCTGCACAAACATGGAACATAGAGGCCACTTAGATTATCATCACATTGTAGCAATATAGCAATACAAGCTGAGATATGAATGCACATAAATGCTGTTACTGCGATGCCAATGGGCATTGGATATGATGCACACCAATATGGAGTTGTGCATGATTTTGAAGATTAGAAAATACATTATTTAAAACAATCAAGCAGAAATAGCACTTATTCTGAAGTTGTGGGTTGTTTTTTTTTTTGACCCTGCATTTAGATGTACTTCAACAAAGAGATTGTTAAACCAGGCTTCAAAAAAGATGGCATTTCTTTCTCCACACTTGGCATCAACATGATTGTTGAAATATCAGAGATTGGTGTAACCGTCACCTTTAGTGGGCTGATTTTCTCTGTGAAACTCCCATACAGCAAGTTTGGCAACAACACCGAAGGACAGTGTGGTAAGACACATGCAGTAATTGAAGGTGGGACTTTTCACCCACCCTTCTGTGGTTATTCTCACTCACTTTGGCTATGTAGTCTCATAACTGACAGAAATTTTTATGCAGCAGTAAAACGGAAATGAAAACAGTCCTGTTCTTCAACTTCTGTAGCATAAAAAGGTCAATATTTTAGCAACATATTTTTTCCTTTGGGGCTGTGGTTTTAGGTTTGCTTGGTTTTTCCTAACCTAAACTAAAGTTCATATTACTGTAAAGAAAGCACTCCGTATGAAGTAAAGCACCTTATACATTTAATGAGCACATAATGTCTAAAGATGCTATCAGCACAATCATGTGTTATGCATCTCTGATATGGCTTATGAGACTTACATAGCTTGTCTCTTCCAGGAACATGTACAAATGATAAATCAGATGAATGCCGCTTACCAAGTGGTAAAATCATTTCTTCCTGTCCCCAAATGGCTCATCACTGGATCGTTGATAACAACAAGTCATGCCATGGAGTACCAGTACCACCAGTTGTAACCACACCAACCCCAAAGCCTCACTGTAAAACACCTCCTCTCTGCAAGCTTATCTGGAGCGAGTAAGAAAAAACTGTATTAATTCACTCTTTTTTAAAAGTAAAAAAAAAAAAGGAGTCACATTTTATGTAAAACATGGAGATCCAAAAGCATGAAGTCTTGTTTCCTGCAGCATTGCCTGTACTTGTGTGACCTCAAACAAAAGCTTTACTTTCAGCTGGGTCATTTTTAAAGGCCCTCTTACAAGTGCTTGATATAGTGCCTAGTAAGTCACAAGCTACTGTATGTGCAGTTTTTCTCTTCCCTCAGCTACTTTTATCATCCCTTTTTCTCAGTCAGATGCAGTTACCTTTTTAATAACATTTCTGGTGTCAGACTGATGAAAATTTGTGTATGCATACAGAATCACTATGACCATCAGCCTCTTCAGAAAAAAAAAAAAGAGGTTCAAACTTCCTAACCTTTCCTTTCCTGAATCTATCTGATTATTGGCTATTAGGGTTTTGTTTCTCATAATACATTCCTTCTTGAAGCATTAACTGGTTAAGTGCTGGATTTTACATAATGACTGGATAATATAAAAGGGGTTTGGCATCTTTTCTGCCTGCAGGATTTTTGCAGAATGCCATGCCGTGATACCACCAGAACCATTTTTCCAAGGCTGTGTTTTTGATGGATGTCGCATAGCCGATGAATCCATGCAGTGTTCCAGTTTGGAGATATATGCTACAGAGTGTGCTACTAGAGGTGTCTGCATTGACTGGAGAGGAGCGACCAATAATACATGTCGTAAGTATTGCAGAACTCAAAAATGTGCATGAGAAATTGTAGTAATTAGTGTTTTACAGATCTTACATCTAACATTTGATTACTATCTACAAAAATACAGTGACATCCTTACTTACAGAAGCTGCAGGTGAAGAAGCCAAGATGTAGCCACTTTTGCTGCAAAAATGCATTTACTGTCAATTTTTCATCTTTTTTTTCTTCTTTTTCAATACAGCATACAACTGTCCAGCAAGCACGGTATACAAGCCATGTGGGCCTATTAATCCTGCTACTTGTGACCCAAGGTATGGAAAGACAAAAAGACCCACCTCAGAACAACTGCTTAGATTTTTCTATTTTTTTCTATTTTTACCTATCTACTTTCCTTAGAAAATGGAGTTACTTCATAATGAAATGTCTTTTGAATTTCGATCATTTATTCAAGATGTATAAATATCAATCAACCCTATGAATATGCACTTTCTGTTGCACTTCAGAAAATGTAATTTTTTTTAATCTCCCTTGTATCTGACATGGACACTTTCCATATATGCTGCTTTCTCTCCTGCTTCACTGCAAAAACTTTGTACTCAAATACATACATTCCTCCCACTCTAGCTTTGTTGAGCTTCCTGGCTATGGAGTAACTGAAGGATGTTTCTGTCCTGAAGGAAAGACACTCATGAGTGAAGACAGCAACATCTGTGTCTCTGAATGCTGTAAGTAATTTGTAGGTAGTTTGGGGAAATAAACAGAGATCAGGATTAAAAGTCAGGAGGTCTGTGCTGTACTGCCATCTTTTACATGGTCAGATCATGGGCAAATCAGCTTCTTCAATCTCCTTTAGTCTTCCCATCTAAAAATCAAGTAATAATCAATATTACCTTATTTCCATCTCCCTTCCTTACGTGAGACCTACCAAGATGGTAGAATTCTACATTTCAGAAGAACTAGTCTGCATATTCACGTTCTTGTTAGTTTTATTTACACAGTACTCCTATTTGAAATTGCACAAATTTACTCCTTTAAGTCAGCTTTCAGTGGTGTAAATTTCCATTTGTGTTTCTTTTTTCTTTGCAGCTTGTAGGGAACCAAATGGTGTATCCCGACAGGTAAGTATCACAATCAATGTGGTTTACCAATAACAGACAAGTGAAGCTAGAAGATATTTAGTGTTTCACAAAACCCAGATTTTGCTTAGGTTGGGGGATACTTCATACTACTTTTTTTCAAATGTTTGTTCCCCTTTAGTCTTAAATAATAATTGAGTGCCAGAGCAGACACCACATTAGCCCCTAAGAAATTGAACAGTTTTCCTTCAGTAACCATCACCTTACATAGTGAAGTAAAAAAAAAGGGGGGAGAGAAAGAAAAAAAGATATTTATGGTAGTAGTGGAATTTTGGCATATATGCTTCTTTTATTTCCACAAATATGGCTAAAGTTACTAGAGGTGAAGGGACATATAGACAGCAGAGTTTACCTGTTGCTGATAATGTTGATATCCTGCATTTTTAGTTCCTCAGCCACATAAAAATTATAGAAATTTCTTATTAAAAAATGCATACCAAGCACAATCACTTCCCCTTTAGACCTCTTCTACCCTTCATGCTATCACTAGTAATAAATAGTGACAGCTGTGTGAATATGCTCAGAAACTTCAGTGGCCTCCAGTATCTTTCTCTAATAAGCTTTAGTCTGACGGTTTCTCATAAAATTTAAAAACACTAGAAATATGAAAAGACTGATTTAATCAGTTATCTCTGTATCCATTAATAAGTCAAATAGAAACAAATATAATTATTTTGGTTTGAATTTTTAGATATAATCTTTTCTTTTCTTTCCTTTTGATATATATATAGCCAGGAGAAAAATGGACAAAAGATTGCCAGGAATGTGTCTGTGATAAAAGTACTCTTAAAGTGCACTGTACAAAACACAGATGTTCTCTGACGCAGCAAGTATTTTGTGATGAGCCAGGTTACGTGCCTGTTCAGGTACAGATACCAGAAGATCCATGCTGTACCAGGACTGAGTGCTGTGAGTACTACAGTATATTCATTCTGGGGAACCACAGAATTTTCTTTTTTAATATACTTTGCATTGATTTCATAATGCTTTTCTTCCTCATCCCACTTCTCAGGACCTTCTTGCAAAGTATTTGCTAGTTGCCTGAAGAGAACAAATTTGAAGATTAAAAGATTTTACATATTTAGACAGAGAAAAGCAATTGGAAATCTCCTATAATTTAACATGGAAAACATTTAATTCTGCCACCACCTGAAACAATATTCAAAAACTATTCAAAGCATTTTCTGTTTCAAAGATCAGTAGAAAAAGATACCATAACTTAAGTATCTTTTTCCAGCAATCACCACTCTATTCTTCTCAAACAATGGTTTGTTTTACAAAGGTTATCGAAAAGCCCATTCACTTCAAACATAGCTGGGCAAATATACTGAATTAGTAATAAAACTAGCTTGTGTGAAAAATACCATATTTGCCCCATGGGAAAACTCCTGAAGTTCATGCAAAATAAAATGACTTTCATTTAAAAATTCCGAGTTCTATTTTTTCTATATTCTTTTACAGACTGCAACACCAGCCTCTGCCCTGAGATCACACCCAAGTGCTTAGAGGGACAGGAAGTAATCACAATAATGCAGCCTGGAAAATGCTGTCCTGCCTTTGAATGCAGTAAGTACTATGCACCTTCTTCATGTATTATTCACAACTATATGTTTTTTAAGTTTATGAATACAAAAAATACATAATATCGGTGTTACAGTATTGGGTCATCAAAGCAGCAGTTTTTTCACATTCTTCTGCTTCTTAAAACTTACACCTCTATAATATCATCTTTCTTCCTTCTTTACAGGAGCTGGTTGTGTAGTCAATGAAACCTACTATGCAGTAAGTACACAGAGTAACTCACTATAAAAATCCACCTTCTCTTAGGTTCCTAGTACAATTCTTTGAAACTTCTATCATGGACCATATTTAGCAGAAAGGCCTGAATAAAACAGGCCTGAATAAAACAAAAGCATTTTCTCCTCTCCTGTTTGCATTAGCAGAATTCAAATCCAAAATCAATATTACCAACAACAGAAACTCCCAAACCAATCAAAATTATATTTAAGGATAGTTTAGCCCATAAATAGTTCAGCTTTGTATTGTCTGTGATGTATGACGTAACTTGCTTTTACTAACTAATAATGACTTATTTTCTGACATCCCCTAGCCTGGAGCTGTCATTCCATCAGGCCCCTGTGAAGAATGCACCTGCTCTGAATCCTCTTACTCAAGCCCTCACCATCCTACAGTCAAGTGCGAGCCTGTTATCTGTGACACTTACTGCCCAGCGGTGAGTGCTATTTTGCTGTCAGTAATTCCTACCCCACTCAGCTCAAATATCCACCAGTTAAGGTCAGTGTCTTGACTCAACGACATTTCCTCTCTATTTCTTTCAAAACAGGGATATAAGTATACAAAGAAACCTGGACAGTGCTGCGGCGTGTGCAAGGCAGTGGCTTGTATAGTGACTGTGGGAGACAACATTACACGCGTGCTCCAAGTAACTATCCCTGTTTTAGTACACTTCTGGTGAACTGTGCTAGTCTTTTCACTCTTTCCTCTCCTTGTCTTTGTCACATTTATTTGCTACATCTTTTCCCATGTTAGACAAATGCTTATTCAGGCAGGGAATGGACTGTCTCACACAGCTTGAACAGTACCTTGAGCCATGAAACTCCAGTTCTAAGACTTCTGGGAGCAACTGTGATAGAGAACAATGGCTTTCAGAAATCAACACCAAAAAAGACTTAGGTGAAAGCACTGGGCTCTCATTTGCCTTCAGCTCTGAAAATATAGCACTCATTTTGCTCAAAGGATAATTTTATCTGTTGAAGCGGTTTTCTGCTCCAAACAGCCAAACTCAAGTTAGCTGAGACCTTTAGAACAGGATGAGTCAGTAAAGCCAGTAGAAATTCTGCTCTGTATCTGAATGGACATACCCATAAATTCTGATGACAAAAACCAATGAAACTCAAATTAATCTTTCCAAATGAGTCCGCATACTTATCCTATTCACACAAAAGCATGTCTATATCCAGATAAAAATACAGCTTCTTCACTTAGTTAATGAGAGACTTACAGCAGTACGACAATATGACAAGTTGACATTCAAGCTGAAATTCAAGGAAATCACTTGGAATAATCAAACTGCGGTAGAATGCAACTATAACACTGGGATGTTTTAATTTCATTTTTATGTATGAAGATTTTTATTCACTTTCACTTTAACTCCTTTCAGGTTGGAGAATTCTGGAACCCACCTGGTGATAACTGTACAACTTACTCATGTGAAAAATATGATGATCAGTTCATTCCAGTTGCCTCACAGACAAGCTGTCCTCCATTTAACCCTGAGGACTGTGATCCAGTAAGTACTCTTCTACCAGTTCTCATTTTTGAAAAGGTTGCAGTGGCTAACACCAGCGATAGAAGAATCCTGGTGTCCAAGGAAAATAACTAGCAGAAGCATCACACAGGGATGTAGCTCTCATTTTATCTCCTATAAATCTGGTCCCTATCAAATTTCATTACAGAAAAGCAAATCAAAATTAAAATAGGTGATGTATCAATCCTCACTGGGGATTGGGAACTAGAGAAAAGGGTATAACATAATGTTTTGGATTCTTAAAACTCCCATGTGACCTAGAAGCAAGAATCTTATTGAAAAATAATGGGATTTTTATTCCTAAATTATTTACATTTATAAATTCCTTTTTAGAATTCACTTATCGACAGCAAAGGTGAAGGAAAATAAACTACTTCAGTTCACAACATCATTAAACTTAGTAGAGCTCAGGGTAGACTAGAACCAGCCCCATGCATCTGGGGACTCAGTTGTTTCATTAATTGTGCTATCCTGTCTGACATAATCCTTCACCTGTACTGACTTGGGTCACTCAGAATACCCCATATGTGCAACAAGCTTTATTTCTGAAATGTTACTACTTAACTCAGACAACAGCAAAGCAGTTCTAGTACCCCTCAATGTCAGCTTTCAAAGAACTCTTATTAATATGAGAGTAGTTATGTGCCCTTAATATTTAGCCTTGCTTGAAATTAGATTCCATGTCAATACAAAGAACTTCCGGTGTCAGAAAAACTAAGGAAGCAGGGAAAGTCTTTGCTTTAGTATGCAGATACAAAACCTGAGTTATCTTTTTCCTTTTTCCTACTCAAGGATGACATCAAGCTATCTGATGATGGCTGCTGTAAAGAGTGCCAACCAAAACTGAAGAGTAAGTAATGATAATTTCTTAAAGAGTAAGTAATGACAATGTGTGCTTTATTAGGTACATTAGTCCACCTTGCATCATAGATGCATAGACAGAAGAAGTGAACAGATCGGGTTTGGGACCACTGCATCACACTGGGGTAAGAATGGAAACAGGTGGAAAAAGCAAGCAGCAGAACATTCCCAGAACAGAACTTAGGGCCTTGGAAAACATGGATATGGTCAACTTTCCTATCCCCTACTCTTTTAGCCTTCTGTGGGAGGGAGAGGACTATGAATATCCTTCAACTTCCATAGATTCTCTTTAAGGAAGAAAGAAAAGCCAGTTCTGGGAGGTGTGTGCGCACTGAGCAGTTGTCACAGTACTGCTCTTTATTTCTGCATTCTGCATCCAAATTGCATAAGCAAAAGGGATTTTTTTCATTCATTGATAACACAAGCAGCAAGAGTCATCACTTGGCCCTTAGCAATTAAAAGAGAACATCACTGTGACCTAATTTCCTATTTCAGCTCTACCCATCTCAGTTTTCTACAACAAACTATTATACACAGGTATCTATATACATGCACACATATTTTAACCTATTTTCCCTTCATTTGTGACAATCTCAGGTTGTATGAAGCACAATACTACTACTGTCATCAAATATCATGGATGTGTTTCTCCTGCACCTGTTGAGATGACATACTGTGAAGGCAGCTGTGACGCTTACTCACGGTAAGTGGTATAAAAGATAATTACAGTCTCTTGTCTTCTACACTTTACATTAGCTACATAAATAAAATTGAAAGTAATTTGCTAGTAGGTCCAATATCCTTAGCTGTTTCCATTGTGCTAACTAAAATTTTTAACAGAAATGACTAGCTTAAGTACCTCAAGACTCAGAATGTTTTAACAGCCAATTCAGTCTTATAGTCAATAGACTCGAGTTTTGATTTTGCCCATGTGAAAATGAGGTTACTCATTTCTCACTATTCTCTCATTTTGGACCGGCTTAATATGTGATCTGGATTAATTCATTTACTTTCTCTGTGCCTTAATGAAGAGCTAGATCCATGCATTTTTACAATGAGGAGCAATTTATATATATTTCAATACTGTAAGAATGGTAATATTGAGCAATAGTCTCACATGCAAGCACACAACTTCTGGTGGTTTAGTAATGGGTGTGAGGGATGGTGGTATTTCTCACAATTTCTGAATCTTTCTCTTCTGTTGGTTTTGCAATTAGATATTCTGCAGAGGCAAACACAATGGAACACAAATGCTCATGTTGTCAGGAAATCCAGACTAGCCAAAGAAAGGTGACTCTGACATGCAGTGACGGAACCTACCTTGATCACTCATACACCTATGTGGAGAAATGCAGCTGTGTGAGCACTGAGTGCATTTCCCAAGTCAGCAGTCAACAGGCAACGAACCAGATAAAGGGCTCTCAGCAACAAGTGAAGGTCTAAAATTAGAACTAAGAGAAGAAGTCAAACAAGGGTTGAATATAAGACTAAAAAAAAAAGCTTTGAAAAAATACAAAACCGACAAAAGCAGCTAAAATTTTGGATGAACAGATGATATTTTCTGCATACAAGCTCAATATGTCTATCTACTTTATTTCAGTTTTCATTACCTATATCTCCCATTGTTTTTCATGTCTTTTCTTTTACATCTTGAGAGGTACAGCATAAGTCATTTTGACATTTTCTGCTAGTTTGTCTTCTGAGAAGTGCTATATCATAAGGTGGAGAGCTGGATTTACACTTGCACAAAGTCTATTATGAGAGCAACGTTCTTTACTGGCTTGAAGCTTGCCCATGGTGGCATTATATAGACACCTGACAATATCTAATATTTCCATTGACATAGACTGACCTTTTTATAACATTTGTATACCAGTTCATTGAGACAAATCAAAAGCTAAAGTCCAGAAAACAAACAAATAAACCCCAAGGAAAACTGTGCCTCTCTGTTTCTTCGTTTTTCCTTTTGCATTAAGGAAAACATAGACCGCAGAAAGCCATACCTTCTCAAAATTATAAACGTCAATATTTTGAACAATTGATAATGGGCATATTTCTCTACATATTCTTGTGAGAAAAAGAAAGAAATCCTATCATGAGAAGCTGCTGCACACTATTCTTTGTTTACATAACACCTTCAGCATAGTAAGTGTATGAAAATATGGATTTTTTTTTTGTTTGTGTTTAACTGTTT